AGGAGACTCTTTTTCAGTCTGCCAGAGAAAAATCTCTTTCCTAGCTGTCTAAAACACTTGGTTAGAATCTCAATAATTTTGTTTCAAATTGCATTTATTATTGGCAAAAAAGATAATGAACTATTTAAATGAAATTTCAGATGAAATATGAAGATTATATTTCGTATGTATTTTGATAAGAGCAAGGAATCGAGGATTAACATTTAAAAGCCATGCATCCCTTCATTATTGAAGAAATAATTGTAATTCCAAATAATGAAAGTGTACTGTTCCAAGAACTTTTTGGATGCAGCTACTACACCATTTACCTTCTAGTCTTATTTTTGGGAAATTCGTTCACTTCACTGCCCAGCACTGAAAGGAATGATATGCATGTCAGCAGCCATCACCATTACCTCTGTGGTCCTTTGTCTTTGCTACATGATGTGGCTGGGTGCTGCTGTAGAGATATGCAGCTCCATTTTAACTTAGAATTAGCGCCTGGGGCATGTGAGGCTGGGTAAAGACTGGTTAAGTGAGCACCAGAATCAAGGGACCACAGAGTCACGCATCTTCTAAGGCCCAAGCTTGGGCCTATGTTGGCCTGGTCCCAAGTGGTCACATTATAGTTCTGTAATGTTCTATTGTGGCTTATTAGTGTCAGTGTTTTCTTCATAAGATTTTGGTGTATCATTCTCAGTTAATTTGGAAAGAGCTGCCCAGTAGATACAACTAATCTGAACATTTTACCTTCAGACACATAATATTTTTTGTTTTGTTTTGCTCATCAGACCTGACAGTGTGTACTTTTTAGCTTAGCAAGTATCTACTGTTCTTACTACTCTCTCATTTACCCAAAGGAAGGATTTTTTTTCAGTTTAACTCCAAAAGTCCTGTCCATTTATATTTGATATATTTGAATGGAGGAATGCATGATGAGCTGAATTGAGGGTAGAGTAAGTGCAGCTGTTAAGTTCTAACTAGCAGTGTGAGTGGGCAAGAAAAAGAGCCAGTTCAGGTGGCAGGAGAGCCCTTGATAAATTAAACACAGGTTTAGGAGGGTCTAGGAAGAACAAGCAGAGAATCTGGTAACTTGGACCATCACTGAACTCTCCGAGAATGTGAAGATGCCATTCAGAAATGTCTAGATTATCAAACTTATTGGATACTGTATTTCTTTCTTTTATGCATGCATACATACCCATACAGGATTATTTTTCTGAAGGCAACATTGGAACAGCATACAAGAGAAAGCAAAAATCTTTGGTATAATAGCAGTAGAGTGAACAGAACATGAATTGTAGCCCTGGGCCTGTAGAGTAAAAGTGTGAGGGCAGAGAGTCAGTTGGCCCAGAGAAACTTAAGCATTTCCCTCTCCTTTACAGCTCATTTGCATGGAGAGTGAAGGGTGGGCCTCAGAGCACATGAAGTATGCTTGTTATTGGTCGGCAAGAGAACACTGGAGAGAACAGGGGATATGTTGTTCCCCGAGGCTTTAAGTCCTCATGGTTCTGCCCATGAGACTGTAGTAGCTGCCGACCTCCTGTGTGGTAGGCACTGGCTTTACACTCATATCTCACTGAAGCCACGATAGCCTAACAGGGAAGGAAAAATTAGAAAGTGTACTGGCTTACCCTAAGACCCCCACAGGAAGTGATAGTACTTGAGTCTACGCTGAGCTACGTTAGATTCCAGAACCTGTTAACTCCGGTCTTGTGTGCGCTCAGTGTCCTTTCAGTGTAGCAGACAAGAGAGTGGCCAGGGTTGCCCTGGGAAGGATAAATGCCATGCAGCCCCTGTGCTGACACAGAGCTGTAGTAACTGCAGAGGGATAAAAGCAAATGCTTCTCAGAGGTGGTACAACAAGGTTTGACAAAGGAGCTTGTGCCCTATTAAAATTCAGATGGAGAGAAGATCCCCAAGGGTTCCAGGTTCAAAGCACATTCTAAAACATTACAAATGGAGCAGTAGTTGAGCTGACAAAACCTAAGTGCAGAGCAGGCTTTGTTTCAACACTTAACTGGGAGCCAGCTGCGCCTCCCCTAGCCTTCAGAGGTACCCTGCATGGTAGGATTGTCTCAGTCACTAGTGGGTACCATCTCCCAAGAGTGTATAGCCAAGCTGGGTGGAAAGCAGACCACAATTGCCTGGCATTCATGAGCAGGTTTAGTGAGGGGCAGTATCTGAGTCACAAAATTTAGTGTTCAAAGCAGAATGAAAACCCACCTGTGTGATTTTCTATCTTAATAGCCCCCTAGGTTCTAAATTTTCTTAACATATTTTGTTCCTTGTCCTCAACAACTGTCAAAACAAACCTGTAAGTGTGTATTTGTTTTTTTTTTTTTTTGTGTGTGTGTGTGTGTGTGTGTGTGTGTGTGTGTGTGTGTGTGTGTGTGTGTATACACAAAGGTACATATGTGTGAATCTAACTGTAATCTAACTTCCTGCTTATACACTCTCCACTAGAAGAGTGTGAAATTGCATTGGTTATTGCTTTATGATGAATGTCATTTAATTAAATTTTACTTTACAAATTGCCATCTTTATCAATTGTATTGCCTTAGAAAATTTTAAATTACATTTATTTATTTTATGTGTGGTGTAGGGAGGTTTGGGTACGTGCATGCCTCAGCACACGTGTGGAAGTCAGAGGACAAGTTGTGGGAGCTGGTTCTCTCCTTCTACCGTGCAAATCTCAGTAATCAAGCTTTGGAACTTGCTGTGTAGACCAGGCTGTCTCTACATAATGATCCACCTGCCTCTTCCTTCCAAATTGTTGGGATTAAAAGCATGCACTAGCATGCCCAGTAAACATTTGTTACTCTCTGAGAATAGTTTTAGTTTTGCTTGTTAACCTGGTTTTATGGGTTTAGTAAGTCCCTAAAGTGGGGTATGGAAAGTAGAACATTCTGGAACTTTTCCCACTTTCCATTCTTTGCCCTGTATAGATGCCAGATTCCTTTGGGAAATCACCATTTGCAAAAGGTCAGGAGCAGAAGGCAGGCCATTCTTTAGTGTAAGGTTGCTGCTAATTGAAAACTAAATATCTAAACCATGTTGGAGTTATTTGTATTTGAAAGGGAAACATTTATATACAAGAGCCCTTTGGTAACATAAAACACTATACCACATAGTGTGAGTTGGGGCTGGGTAGGGGACAGACTGGAAAGCTTCAGAAATTGACTGTGCAGAGTGAAATCATTTGCTAATTAGATTGCAAAGCATTTTCAGAATATTTTCTTTTCTTTGTTGAATGAAGTTTTCTGCCCCCATGGGCCAAAACAAACATTTTACGGTATTTGCCAATTACAGATTAAACATTTAATCGTTTTAAAGGAAAAATAAGTGAGAAAATGGGTGAGTTGTCAGAGCCTAGTTAAAGTCCAGAAGGAATTCACTGGCTGCGTGCTGTAGCCTTGGCTTGTCTTCCGTTCTGTATCACCCGATGGCATCTCTCCAGTCGGTCTCAGGCACTGAGGGGCCCACTGTGTCTTTCATCCTCGCTACTCTTCCTCTCCTCCTTTGTCATCCTGTGTCCCAGTACACCCATGATGAAATTTTAAGTCATTTTATTTATACAGAAATGGCATCGTGTGTGTGTGTGTGTGTACATGTGTGGGCAATGCCGTATGTGTCTGTAAGTTAGAGGGCAGCTTGGTGGAATCGATTTTCTCTTTACATGGGTTCCAGGGATCAAACTCAGGTCACCAGGCCTGTGTAGTAAGTGCCTTAGTGAGCTCTCTGGCCCCAGAAATGTTACCTGTTTTTATTCTCATATTAAGGTACACTTTAGTGGTACTTCTGAAATAGTAGAGACATTTCTTCCTATGGCTCTGCCCCCTGCATCCCACACCTCCATGGCCATGGCCCCAATAGGCCACACGCAGATCCTTATAACACTTCTTGCTTTGGGGGAAGGTTAAGAGACCATCTCTTTTCCAGGTAGAACCTACTGTCTTCTGATCCTTTTGCCTTGGCATCTAAGACAGCTCTGAAATTGGGTTACTTTTGTAAGTGGGTGAAATATTATGAAGTCAAGAGAATTCTGACAAAGTACATACTAAGCTGAGACTTTACTATATTGGACTTCTCTTGCGATTTGTATTGTGTCTTTGAAAGCTTTCAGCTTCACAGTCTCACTCACCGAAGTGGTTGTGGCTTCTCAGGAGCTGAGTGTTTACAAGGTAAAGAGGCCCTTAGATGCCCTGCCTTTCCAGTGCTCTGTTAACACAAAATACCACTTGTCCATGGCTGTCCTTTGCTTTTATTCCCATTCTTTGGATGTGAGTCAGCCCAGTGGTGAGGATTTGGAGCCTTGGGGTTCATGTCTTGCCCTCTTAACAGAAACTTCATCTATGTTGCCTGCCATTTGTGATGCTCCTTGCTGTGACCCAACCCATCAGTTCTTTAGCCTTAATGTCCAGGTCCTCATCAGCACCTAAGCCATCCAGACACACCCACCTGTTCCTTGAGCACTTCTACCATGCTTTAGATACTGCTGTTCTTGGTCAGGACGGCCTTTGTTTTTCTTGGCCAACTAGAACCATACCTCCTGACCCGGCCTTTCTCTTCTCATTGCTTATAACATCAAGATCACTTGTTTATCATTTTCCCTGTACTGCCTTAGCTTTGCTCATCATTTCAAATGTGCATCTCATCTTTCCAGCCAGCTTACAGACTGCTCAGAGATAGTCTTGCTGTTGATGGCATTTACCACAGTACTTTCTGCTCTTCACAGGTATCCAGTTCATGTGTTCATCATTGAGGAATAAGCCATTTTTCTGCTATCACCTGTTTAGTATCTTCTCCCCCATGATAAGATTATATATACCAGTGTTATTTTTTAACAAAAGTAATGTAATCTATGAAACTAACACAGATACAAAGAAAAACATCATTTGAATAAGGAAAGAATAAGAAGAGTCATTTGAAACGAGGTACTGATCCTGTAAATGAGAAACATATACAGAGATACAGATGTCGAAACAAGCATTAATGATACTGTTTTTATTTCTCCCTAGGTGTGCTCGCTCACCTATCTACCGCTCCCGTGAAATGGCAGCCCGTGCACTGGTCCCCTTCATTACCATAGACCAAATACCAAGCACCCTCCGTGCTCTGCTAGACTCACTCCCCAACAGCACTGACCAGTGTTTCCGACAAAACCATATTCATGGGACACTTCTACAAGTAAGTGGAGTGATTCTGTGTGACTTCCATAGGACACCACAAGATGAACTTGAGTTCTCATGTGTTCTTAGCAGGTGAAGACTTGATACACAGGCCTTCAAGTTTATCTGTAGAACTTACTTATTTCTACTTCCTAATTACCAGCTGTCTCCCAAATAGGATTTCATACACCTCAAGTATGAATCAATATACACTGATTTGACAGGTTATCCTGTGCATTAAATTCTGCAACATGCTTTTCCATCAGGTGTGCCTACAGAACACCCAGGCTTTGATGGTTTGAATGAGAATGTCCCCCCAGAGTCTTGGGTATTAGAATGCCTGGTCCTCAGCTGGCGGCACTGTTTGGGAAGATTTAGGACTTGTAGTCTTGTTGGAGGGAGCGTGGTGTCACTGACGGCAGACTTTGAGAGCGTAGAGACTTGCACCGTTTCTAGTTCGCATTCTCTGCTTCCTGCTTGTGGTTCAAGATGTCAGTCCTCAGCTCCCTGCTCCTGCCTCCGTGCCTTCACTCTGCCACCAAGGTCTCCTAACTGGAACTGTCAGCCCAAATAGATCTTCTATAAGTGGTCTTGGTCATGCTATTCTATCACAGCAGTGGAAAACTAGGCCATCTTGCTGGCCCTTGTTTTAAGTAAATATAGAAGTGTGTTGTTCTTTTTACTTAAGTGCGACAAATGGAGGAGAACTCACTGAAATTTTCCTTTTAAAACCCTAACCTGGGAACGGGTAGTGTTGGTAAAATCTATTCACATGGCTGTTGTGGATTGCTCACCTGGGCATGGATGGGGATGGATTTAAATTCAGGTCATGTTACTAGATTATTCTAAACCTGCAGTCTACCCTGCTGATGTGGGAGGCGCTGTGTGAAACGGTTCACAGTGTGGGTTCCAGAGATGGACTGCCTGGTTCTGCATCAGGTAGCCACCCGTCACTACCTGTCCTTCTGCATCTTCAGTTTTGAAATCAATTAGTGCATATAAAGTGCTCATGTACCTGGTCCATGATTAGACATACAGATAGTTATTACCACAGTTTTAATGAGCTTGCCCTATGGTGAAAACTAATTCCCTGTGGGTGAAATGAAAGGTAGATCTGTGTTTCTGTCTTTGTTCCTTGGTTGTTTATATATTTGGCAAAGATTTTACTGAATGCCTACTCTGTACTGTTGTATCATAGAACAGTGACTTAAGTCCTTCCTGGCCTGGACAGCATAAAGAGCAGAAAATAGGAGTCCCAATGTAGCATGTTAAGTGTTGGGTGACATGTGGCAGGGCCATGGGACTTGAATTGGAGAAATCAGGGCAAGCATCTCAGAGCAGGTGGCAGTTAGATGGAGGTTGAAAGCAGTCAGTCAGCCATGGTGAAGAAGTCCCTTGTGCAGAGAGAACATCATAGAGTAACGTAGTAACTCCTGGGACTGCAGCTCTGTTCCAGACAGGAACTCCACTTCAGTGCTTCTCAGGACAAAACACACTGGAAGTCAAAGAGGGCCCAAGCTGGTGTTAGCTTTCAGTGTTGAATTCGACAGTAATCTGAGGTAATATCAAGACATAGGAACCCAAAGCACATACTCCTTTATCGCCAGGGAAGGCATCCTTGCATCCCTTGTAGACCCTGGCAAACTCACCAGCACGCGCGCGCACACACACACACACACACACACACACACACACACACACACACTGTCTCAAAACGCACTTCAGATCATCTGCTCCACATTGTATATATTGTAGGTTTTTGTGGTTTCTTTGTTAGGAAGGGAGTAGCATTTGAGGGCAGGAGTGCATTCCACAGCACCCAGGTGGCAGTCGGGACAGCCTCGGATGTCAGGATGTCAGTCCTCACCTTCTTCCTTGTTTGAGAAGGATCTCTTGGTTTTCTGCTTTGTATACCGGGGTAGTGGTCCACAGGCTTGCAGGGTTATTCCTTCATCACCACGGGCTATACCTCTGGATTTTACCCTGGGACTGGTGTGTTCAAAGCAGGTCCTCACATTTGTATGGCAGCACTTTTACCTATGGAACCATCTCTCCAGTCCCATGTGATCCTTCTAACAAAATCTTACACCTTCTGGGTCCTCACTTCGTTCCTGTGTTAAAGAGAGGCACAGGTTATCTTAACCTTGGAGCCAGGCCATAGAGGCCCAGAGATCATCATTGGCTTAGTCAAACAAGTTGGATCTCTTGGCCCCCAACTCTGCTTCTGTTCAAAGGAAACAGACTAGTGACAAGAAAAGTAGCAAAACAATCTTGAGAGTGTACACATTCAGACAGAATGCCCAAAGCCCCAGAGGTTGAGCCCTAGGCTGCCGAGTGGGTGGAGCCGCTTCTCCTTTCTTCTCCAGGTACGGGTGGGCCTCTTAACTAGATGCCTCCTCCTCCTCCATGGCAGTCCCTGCCTGTTGCGCCAGTCTGCCCAGCAACCAGACATGACCTCCCCCTCGGCATGTGGGCCACCTTTCGTATTCTCAGGGCTACTTTGTTGACTAGCATGTGGAACTCTGTGGAAAGACAAAAAAGCCCCCAATTCTGGGGTTGTACTGCTGTTGCTCTTCTTCCTTAGTGTTGGTGAAAGGCTTATTGGGGGTCGGGGTGGGAGTGAGGAGTCGTAGTTGGATGCTGGGCATTTACTGTGCTGGTCTAACAGATTCCTGTATTTGTCAAGGGTGTTCACTCTGGTTGAAAAGAAGTCAGAGGTGTGTGTGTGTGCAGTATTCTGGTCTGTCTGGACTGTTAGTGTCTCTGCAGGGAGAACATCTAAGGGGTTAAGTCGGAGAGGAAGCTTCAGCTTGTAAGTTCTCTACACAGAAAGCTATCTTTGAAACCAGCACACACTTGCACTTAGAAGAGAGATGTTAAGGACTCAGAGGAGCGATACTCTCCATGGGACTTTCAGAGCCAGCTAAGTAAATGCAAAACTGGTAGTTTTTCAAGAGCAGGAAATCATTTTGTAATCAGAAAACAAATTCCTTACAGAACGTTTTCTTGAATTATACATTTTGACTTCTTTGAAGATGTTTATATAGTCATATCAAACCCCAGAGTATTTCTTCAGTATACCTTAAAAACAAAAATGTGCTGATGCCTGAGTTTTTGAGACTGGGAAAGACTCAGATGATAGGGCATGCAGAATAAGAACATGTGGGTTCATTTCAAAACCAGAGGTTCATGATGGCGGTGCTGAAGTGGAAGGAAATGGCCCACATTAGGGAAGGAAAGAGTGGAGAGCGGGTTCTAAAGAGCCCAGGGTAAATGACATTAAGTCTCAATACAGGAAGGCCCGATAAGAGCCATGGACATTACCTCATTTGGAGCAGCACTGGCAGGCCCCTGTCTTTTAAGTAGAATTAACTGTCTGTTTTTATTGCCAGAATTCTTCATGCTAGGAACTCAGTGTTATTACTAGGTTACTTATCACCCCTAAGAAGTTGCAGTGCCGTTCAGAAAGCTCTCTTGTTAAGACTGTGCTTGGCCAGCACCCCTGAGGAAAGGGTTGTTCTGATTCTTGTGTACTTCACTAACATTTTGGTGTTCCATAGAGAAGTCTGCAGTCTCTGAGGGGAGAGTTTCAGGTTTGTTCGCCCACTGTGTCTTTTGGTCAGGCTTCTGACGGTGTAATAGAAAAGATGAGCCTTGCTCTTGTTGTTGTAGAGCTCCTTTGTAAGTAGACAGGCTACGTAATGGAGCTTGCCGGAGGGTGAGAAGACCATTTGTGTAATTATCCTAGAATATTTGTCAATATCCTAGACAAGGTTTTTCTTCCATCTACATAATGGCTCAAGTGCCGCACATCCCTTGGTGTCAGAGTACAAGCTGCATTTCCTACCAATTGAAACCCACACGTTTCTTTCTGATTTGCCAACAGAACATGTCAAACACCCAACTGTTTTATCTTTCTCTCCAATTTGGAGACTTGGTTTCTCCACTTTGAGAATTCTGAGATAGAAAAGGTCCTCTTTTCCTGTCTGTGGAGCTCAGTGGTAGCACTGTCTACTTGTGTGGCACAACATACTAGCCAGGGACGGGCTTCAGATGGCCTAGGTGGACAGCTTAGTTTACCATGAAAGTAACATTTAGACCATTGGTGAGTTTATTCATGCTCTTAGCACGCCCACAGAGTAGCCAGACAGGTGTCCCTTCATTTCCTCCCTCCCGCCCAGTTGACATAACCCAGAATGGGTGACTTGTACAGAGCCACAGGTAGTCAGCAGTAAAGATGTGCCTCACTCTAAAGCCCATGTTCTCTTTATAACGGGCTTCCTGCCTGATAGCTGGTGAGAGGGACAGCTTCTCATGACTAGGACATTAAACCAAGAACCCATCTCTTTTTTGGTTTCATCTGTTATACCAGTTGGTTGGTCTCCTTAAATTCGGGGTGTTGTGATTCCTCAACACTGGAAGCAAAGTGAGACCGCCTGTGTTTCAGAGCTTGTCAGGGAAGTACTAAAACCCAGAGAAGATACAATGGAAAGGATGCATTGTCTCTTTCCTCCCTCCTCTTTCCTTTTTCTCTTTGGTTTTCTACCTAAAACTGGAACAACAGGATTCTCCCAGACTGTAGCTAAGTCACAGCAACCACACCCTCTGTCATCCCTAAACCTTGGACTTGAGCAGCAGGAGGAGTGATGGATCTAGGAAAGGGTGGGGCCACCAGGAAGCTGTGAAGATTGAGTCAGTAAAGCAAACCCAGCATGCCTACCCGTTTGAGGGCCTGTGGAGTACGAGGAGGAGTTTGCCCCTGGGGCACTTCCCTCCCAATGTGGGGAGCTCAGTGAGCTCCTTGTGGGCAGGGACAGAGGAGTGAGTGAAGCCGAGGTGGAAGACAGACAGACAGACAAGGGCTGTGGACATGAAGGAAGACATAAATGAGGCCCTTTTGGCTCGAGTCAGGATCTGCACACAGATGGGAGCAGCAGAGCAGGACTGTGGCAAAGACAGCTGAGGACTTCAGCAGAGGGTGATCTTGGAATGACTTCCTTCAAAGACAAGCGGGAACTC